GCGCTTTTGACCCGTTAAACAGTAGTTTTCTCTGCTTTAAACTGTCGAAAAACCCGGAGAAAACTTCAACTTTCCGGTCCCAATCCCGGGTGGTCCATATTTGTCGGAGTTTCGGGTTAAGGGTCTTGTTGAGCTGGCGTTCGATGTAGACATCGTAGGAGGAGTATCCTGGTCGGATCTTGAGGTCCGGGGAGGAGTTTGTCGGGTCTTTTTTCAAGGTATGACGTGGGGTTTGTAGATAGATAAAGGCTAAGAAAGATAGAGAGAAGAAGAGAGAAAGGATGAAGGGCTTGACGATGAGGGGTAGTTTTGGCAATTCACCTGGTATCATGTCTGCATGAAAAAATGGCTCTCAGCATGGAACGAAGAACTGGTTAGATGTTTATGTGTTCTTTAGAGAGAGAATTCACATACATACATGTTTGCATATATATATATATATATATATATATATAAGGACTTGTAGTATCTCTCTAGATCTGGCAAAAGCGAAAGAACCCCTAACATAAATATATATATAACTTGGGGGCAAATGAAAGAAGCATCGTCTTTCTCTATACTTTTTACATTTTTTAAGCTAACCAAAAAATTTGACAAAATCGTGTTTAGTAATTTATATTTAAATATGCTAGAATTTTTTTTAAAAATAAGTTATTCTTACGTGTTTTATTAGCTTAACATATAAACAAAGTACAATTTAATAGGGATTACAAGGGAGTGGATCCGACGTCCAAAACAGTAAGCTCATGAAGAAACACAGACTCAAGAAGAAATTCGAATTATATTTCTTATCATCGTACACCTAATTAGATATCTGACAAGATCATGATCGTTGATGATTCTAGCGTTTGATCAAATTTAATTCATCTGATCATCTATTTCTCCATTGATCTATCCTAAGCTCGTAACTCAAAAATGAATTTGGTAAAGCCTCGGTGCTCGACTTCTTGGTAGTAGGAGGAGTTGCTTCTTGATTTTCAGCTTGCTGTCAATTAGGCCTTTAATTGGGTCTTTTCCTTCTGTAGGCCGGGATCCTTATTTGAGTTATATTATTGATCAAATTTTATTGTATTTATTGAAATCATAAATTTTTACTTATGGTAAAAAAAATATTGTAATATTACACAAATATATTTAAATAAAAAGTTACTTGCAATTTACAAATAATTGGTCGTGATGATAAGATAAATATAATAACGTGGGCAAAAGAACCAAAAGAAAGAAAAAAGGAGACGTATCTTCAAGAATATTTTACTTTTACATATTCCAAAAATATACTGTCATCCAAATTAAACAACTAATCTAAGGTCAATTATTGGTGAACGTTATACTACAAAACCCAGAGTATAATTTTTTCACAAGCAAAAGTAAAATAAAATGAAAATTATAATATCTCCATTTACAATCCCAATTTTAATTATTTAACAAACTTTAATGTTGGAAATCCACCCTGTTTAGCTAATGAGGTAGGACAACGCGAGATGGCTCGGGAAATCTTTTTCATACATAAACCAAGGTTTGAACGGATGAATGGGAACCCAAGTGCCAAAAATGAAAGGTGAGAAAATATCGTCAAAAGATTCGAGTGCCCAGCTAAAATTTTCCATTTTTGCAAAGTACGTGATTATAAGTTGGCATCTCAATAAATGTGTGGATAAAAAATGGACAATAGTTGCAGGTTACTACAAAATGTGTGAATAAAAAGTATATTTGATCAGTTCTCAAACATGCTCTACTTCTAGGATTGGATCATCGTACCACAAAAGGGAATGACAAAGCAGAAATTAGGAAATGAATGGCTTAGAAGCCTAGTGCTGTGCAAAATAAGACATCGAAAGCAACCATAGAGGCATAGACCACGCTATATGAAGTAATGAAAATCGCAACGAAAAACAAGATTTAAAAGTGAAGAAATTAACAAATAGAGTTAATCGCAGAAACACGACGTTTTATTAATCGACAATATAGAAAGAAATACAATAACTCAGTAATTCTTACTTGAACAAAATTGAAAGAGAATACCACTATTTATATGTACAGTCAAAAGATGGTTGAAATTTTGCAACTAGGACACGTGATATCAATATAAATTTTACTACGCCCTCGAGGTATAGTTTGGTAGTGCAAAAGACAGAAGTGAGGTTATTTCACGCCTTGCTAGCAATTACAATGTGTAGATTCGATTCCTGAAACATGGAATTGAACTTCTTGTAGACGCAGTATGCAAACAGCTCTTGTTCCTTAGCCTGTTGGGGCACATCCCGCTATTTACCTTTCTTACAAAACTTTAGGGACAAGGTGGTGAGACCCTCAAGGTTGGGGTTCAACCTTTTTTAAAATAAATTTTATTGCTTCTTTAATGACACTAATCTTTTAATATTCTTCTCGGAATTAAATTTTTTCAGATAATTCATCTTTTAATTTTATTTGAAAGTGTCTAATTATTTTCCTGTTTGTTTCTCATTTTTTTCTCATTAAAATGAAAAATATAATCGTTATTCATCACATCAAACCACTAAATTTGAATTTCTATCTCTTGTATGTGGTCCATAATAATTATATTTTTCATTCTCATTTTTACAAAAATAGGAAACAAAAGCCCCCTAATCATGACGAAACCTTGCAAATATTTTCAAGTTTTGTTGTCTCTCTTTCAATTAAAAAGAGATTGAAATTTCAACTTTTCTTCCTACCTCTTTTTTTTTTTTTTTTTTTATGCGCACATTAGAGGAATAAAGATAAAGGTCTACGAAACCATGCAGAGCTACTAAAACTAGGAGTATCCAATGCCATCCTATTCCCCATATTTGAATAAGCCATAAATACATCACATTCATACCCATTGTAATATCGCATGCGTTTTTTATTGGATAAAGATAGATTTCATGGAATCCATACCGAGATGGACTCAGACATTTTAAAATTAGAGGGACACAGTTAAATCTGTAAAAAAAAGTTGTAAAAAATTAGACTTAGGCTATGTTTGAGACATATTTTTTCAAAAAAAGACACTCTTAAACAGTGATTTGACATCATTTCAATCACATTTTTTCAATAAAATAATATTGCACCCAAATTTAAAACTTTTCTTTATTTTTTAACCACACATTTTTCATCAATACACTATTCAAAAATGCATTTTTAGGAATATAATGTCGCTCAAACAAGGGTTTAGGGGGCGTTGTTTCTCATTTTTATAAAAATGAGAATGAAAAATATAGTCATTATGGGTTCCATACAAAATATAGAAATTGAAATTTGATGACTTGATGTGATGAATAACGTTCATATTTTTCATTTTAATGGAGAAAGAATGGAAAACAAACAGAGCTTTATATACACTACTACTTCCAATATCCGTTTCTTAGGCTTGAAACTAGAAAAATAATTGGTACCTCATAAGAAATTATTTCAAACTGCTACATAACCTATGTTGAAAAGATGAAACTGTAGTGAATAAAATTTGGTGGCTCGTAAGAAATTAAACTAAACGGAGTAGGGTGGAGAACATGATTCATGCTCCGAATCTTTTTATTTTATTTTTACGTTTTACAATTGAAATCGTATTTTAAAAAATAATTAATTAATAAGACCGTAAATTGAGATATTTTAATCCCTCGTCTCGTCCCACCTTCCGAAAATCACTCTATCATCTTGTCATCCCTAAAATAAAATGAAATACAAGATAATTCAAAGTAATAGATTTAATTGAAATTTCTCAAATAAAAACTCATAGACACCATGAGTTGTAGTTATGTACTCTATAATCTTCTGAGCTAAGACACCCATGGCCCACCCTAGCTTCTTTGGACCAATTCATTTATTAAAGGTTGAATCCCAACCTTGAGGGCCTTCACCGTCTCGCCTCTAGAGTTTTGTAAGGGAGATAAATCGTGAGATGTACCCCAATAGGTCAAGGAACAAGAGCTGCCTGTACACTGCACCTACAAAGAGTTCAATTTCATATCTCAGAAATCGAACCCCCATACTGCGGCTACCAGTAAGGCGTGAGATAATCTCACTCCCGTCCTTTGCATCACTAGGCTATACCCGGGGGCTGGACCGATTCATTTATTGAATTGTAGTTAAGTGTTCTATAGTTCACAATGTTATTATTTCTGAAAGACCGTGACAAGACTTGAATTAGGCCTCGACCGAGGGCTTTACTAAACCGGACTATAATATATTAATTATACATGCAAATTGTGTAGGGTCCCAATTGGAATATTTATTCTGGCAGCGGTCCCTTTTTTTATCCTATCTATGAATGAATTTATTCAATTTCACTTTTAGTTTGGAAGAAGCCGTTGGAGCATCCTTTCCTCATGACTTTTTTTTTTTTTTTTTTAATTATTCCAGTTTTTAATTCTTTTTGCTTCATCAAAAGACTACATTCAACAACAATTTTGGAAGACATCATTAATTGATTCAAAAGCATGATCTCTTTGAACAATTTTTAGTGCATATTTTAAGAACATGTAATCATATAATCATCCTGAACAAAATCTCTCTCTAATTATTAATATTTTACCATTTTTTTTCTAATTTTTAATGCTAGGGTTTTGAATTTGAAATTAATCGTATTGTCATAGAATAGTTGGTCGAGTTTTCGTCTATTGTTCGCTAATGAACAATTTTGTCAAGTCGGATGGAGGTGAAAATCGAGACTTAGTCTGTTACTTCACTTTTGAAAGCTTTCTTTCCATCTACAAGTAGGAAGGAGGTGATATTTTCAAGTCGTCGATATGTAAAACAATCTTTGCCAATATTTCACTTGAATGATAGATTTTGCATCTCTTGTTTCTTCACTCTTTAGTGTTTTTCAAGATTTATCGGCCCTACGATTAAATTTAATATATCATTCATTTGAATGAGATCACATCATGACTTTATTTACCCAACAAAAGACGATAAAAACAACTAAATCATGAAATCAACCATCACTTCATTATAACATATCACATGCAATCAATGAAAATATGAAAAAAGAGAACTCGAAAGTAACATTAAATCATTCCATCGTCAATTTTATAATTGAAACAAAATTCTCGTCCTTTTTCCTTCTGTAATAAATTAATCTCGAAAAAATATAAATAGAAAAATCTTAAGACTGAAAACTTACATGGAATTATAAGTTGTGTTTCCGAAAAACAATTTCAGTGTCCAATCCAAATCCATCGACACTCCTAACCTTAACAACTTCTGATAGTTTGAACAATTTTATCAATGGTTTCACACTGTACAAGTCATTGGCCGAATATTTATCTGCCCTTCGAGATAACGCTACGTGTAAAACACAAATCCCGCCGGGCTTCAACGTCCGTTCGATCTCTCCGACAAATTTCTCAGGATAAAGTGCATGATCAAAAACGTTGGAGAATTCGAAATCAAAAGTCTCGTCATCAAACGGCTGATGATGAAAGTCACCCTTCAACACCAATGGAGGGTAAGGCACTAGATCTATACCCACAGAGTCATTTACACCGACCCGTTTTAATGCAGCCACCTCTTGCCCGACCCGGGCTCCAACACAAAGCGCTTTTGACCCGTTAAACAGTAGTTTTCTCTGCTTTAAACTGTCGAAAAACCCGGAGAAAACTTCAACTTTCCGGTCCCAATCCCGGGTAGTCCATATTTGTCGGAGTTTCGGGTTAAGGGTCTTGTTGAGCTGGCGTTCGATGTAGACATCGTAGGAGGAGTATCCTGGTCGGATCTTGAGGTCCGGGGAGGAGTTTGTCGGGTCTTTTTTCAAGGTATGACGTGGGGTTTGTAGATAGATAAAGGCTAAGAAAGATAGAGAGAAGAAGAGAGAAAGGATGAAGGGCTTGACGATGAGGGGTAGTTTTGGCAATTCACCTGGTATCATGTCTGCATGAAAAAATGGCTCTCAGCATGGAACGAAGAACTGGTTAGATGTTTATGTGTTCTTTAGAGAGAGAATTCACATACATACATGTTTGCATATATATATATATATATATAGAGAGAGAGAGAGAGAGAGAGAGAGAAGGTGTGGGGGTGGGAATCCTATGCTTATGTAATGAAGAGGTATAAGAGGCTTGTATAAAAGAATTAATTTATATATATATATATATATAATTTTTTTAAAAAATAAGTTATTCTTACGTGTTTTATTAGCTTAACATATAAACAAAGTACAATTTAATAGGGATTACAAGGGCGTGGATCCGACGTCCAAAACAGTAAGCTTATGAAGAAACACAGACTCAAGAAGAAATTCGAATTATATTTCTTGTCATCGTACACCTGATTAGATATCTGACAAGATCATGATCGTTGATGATTCTAGCATTTGATCAAATTTAATTCATCTGATCATCTATTTCTCCATTGATCTATCCTAAGCTCGTAACTCAAAAATAAATTTGGTAAAGCCTCGGTGCTCGACTTCTTGGTAGTAGGAGGAGTTGCTTCTTGATTTTCAGCTTGCTGTCAATTAGGTCTTTAATTGGGTCTTTTCCTTCTGTAGGCCGGGATCCTTATTTGAGTTATATTATTGATCAAATTTTATTGTATTTATTGAAATCAGAAATTTTTACTTTTTGGTAAAAAAAAATATTGTAATATTACACAAATATATTTAAATAAAAAGTTACTTACAATTTACAAATAATTGGTCGTGATGATAAGATAAATATAATAACGTGGGCAAAAGAAAGAAAAAAGGAGACGTATCTTCAAAAATATTTTACTTTTACATATTCCAAAAATATACTCTGTCATCCAAATTAAACAACTAATCTAAGGTCAATTATTGGTGAACGTTATACTACAAAACCCAGAGTATAATTTTTTCACAAGCAAAAATAAAATAAAATGAAAATTATAATATCTCCATTTACAATCCCAATTTTAATTATTTAACAAACTTTAATGTTGGAAATCCACCCTGTTTAGCTAATGAGGTAGGACAACGCGAGATGGCTCGGGAAATCTTTTTCATACATAAACCAAGGTTTGAACGGATGAATGGGAACCCAAGTGCCAAAAATGAAAGGTGAGAAAATATCGTCAAAAGATTCGAGTGCCCAGCTAAAATTTTCCATTTTTGCAAAGTACGTGATTATAAGTTGGCATCTCAATAAATGTGTGGATAAAAAATGGACAATAGTTGCAGGTTACTACAAAATGTGTGAATAAAAAGTATATTTGATCAGTTTCCAAACATGCTCTAATTTTAGGATTGGATCATTGTACCACAAAAGGGAATGACAAAGCAGAAATTAGGAAATGAATGGCTTAGAAGCCTAGTGCTGTGCAAAATAAGACATCGAAAGCAACCATAGAGGCATAGACCATGCTATATGAAGTAATGGAAATCGCAATGAAAAACAAGATTTAAAAGTGAAGAAATTAACAAATAGAGTTAATCGCAGAAGCACAACGTTTTATTAATCGACAATATAGAAAGAAATACAAGAACTCAGGAATTCTTGCTTGAACAAAACTGAAAGAGAAGACCACTATTTATATGTACATAACTTAACATAAAGATGGAAATATTGTAGAATAAGGAAATAATATATTTCTATAAAAATTACTTGAAATATAAGGAATTAAATTTTCCCACATGAAAATAAGGAAACAATTTTTTTTAAAAAAAAATCCACCCTAATTTGGGTCACAAACCCAATAATCTCCACCTTGACCCAAATTCTGGTACAACAAACGAAACTCCAAAATTTCAAATATGTCTACATCGAAATAGCCAATCTCCTCAACACAGTAATCAAAACTCTCCAAACCAAACTGTCGTCCTCTACAAGGCATCCACAAGTGTCACCTGAACCCAAATTTTGGATTCCCAAAATTCTACTGAGGAATTACTATTGACCAAATAGGGTCGAAGCACACCCTGTAACAGAAATCATATCACATGCTGGATCAGAAAGCCCATTGCTAGAACTGTCGTCTTTAACGTCCCCAAAAGCATCCCAGAAATTATTGACACTACGGTACCTATACTCCATGAATCCTACCCTGGCAAATGAACACGATGTATTCGTTGAAATTGGTGGCAAAGCGGAATCACCAATGCTCCTCTGAGCAATGTTTTGAACAACCCAGAGCCCGTCACAAGAGGTACTGTACCAAATTGAATATCCACCACGATATTGAACTTGTCTCGATGTCTCTTAACTGATTCTTTCCTTCCCTGCAAAAATGTATAACTGAGACTTTCGTCCCTTCAATACAACCCGGACACCCATTCGAACCTTCAAAACTCCACCTCCACCAGAAAAATTATCCCATTTTGCATCCAGAATACTAAGTGAGATAAGATTCCTTTTTAGGTCTGGAACATATCGAACCTGATTAATTGTTTTGACTATTCCATCTTGTAGCCTAAATCTGACTCGACCAATCCCAACAATACGGCAAGATTAGTTGTTTCCCATTACAACTTCACCTTGCTGAAAACCTCATATGTCCGAAAGAAATTCTGATTGGAACACATATGATGCGAACATGCCGAATCGAGAATCCACTCTTCGTCGGGCCTAAATTCCACGTCAGATATCACAGTTAACATCACATCTCCGCCATCTGAAAAATCCTCAACTGCATATGTTTCGTCTGAATTCAAAGGTTGCGCTCCACGATTTCCAGCTAAATCACCTTTATCCTACAACTTATCACAATCCTTTCGAATATGTTCGTTACGTGTGCAGTAGAAGCAAAACAAATTATTGTTATTCTTCGATCTGCCCCTCCGTTGTCCACCATGAGATACAAGAACTTTCTCATCCCTCGATGTAACTCCAACCAAATGCTTCAACTTTTCCTTTGAGTGCAAAGCATTATAGATATTATATATAGTCAAAATATCTCGACTATACAAAATGTGTTCCGAAACGACGCATAAGAGCCAGGCAGCAAACATAACAAGATCAAGGCAATATCCTTTTCATCATATTTAACTTCTCACTTCTGCAAATCTACAACAATTTCCTTGAACACGACAATATAATCTTCCAACGACCCTCCTTCCATCATGCGATGGGAATACAGCTTCTACTTTAAAGCTAGTTTCAACCATAAAGCAGTTGTTTTCTCCTTCAAAACATCCTGCAGAATATTGTTGGATAGATAAAAATGAATCAACGATAAAGCCTTCTGATCCCTCTGTTGTCCAATTAGTTGACATTTTCTCAAAACCAAGCAACACAACATCCAAATCTAACTTCGCCAAAATAGCTCTCATCTTTACTTGCCACAAAGAAAACCTTGTATTGCGATCCAATTGCTGAATATCATACTTGAAAGCAGTCATCTCTAAAAAGCCTCAACAAATCCACAACAAGAACTAAGCTCTGATACTACTTGTTGGATCCGAAATGATTGTAGTAAATGAGATTAAGGACACGATATGAAGTAATGAAGATCGCAACGAAAAACAAGATTTAAAAGTGAAGAAAATAACAAAAAGAGTTAATCGCAGAAGCACAACGTTTTATTAATCGATAGTATGGAGAAAAATACAAGAATTCGGCAATTCTTGCTTGAACAAAACTGAAAAAGAAAATCACTATTTATAAATACATGGCATAACATAAAGATGGAAATAATGTAGAATAAGGAAACAATATATTTTTATAAAAATCACGTGAAATATAAGGAAACAAATTTTTCAACATGAAAATAAGGAAACAATTTATTTTAAAAAATAAATCCACCCTCATTTAAGTCACAAACCCAACACAAAGATTTGATCCATCCCCACGACTCGTGCTTAACTTCAAGTTAATATCGCACATATTTCCAATAGAAAAAAACATTTTCTACCCAACAAAACTTGGAATATGATATTCAAAAGAAAGAAAATATATCATGGTACATCATGCTTGAAAAGCAGAAAAAGGATTAGCGAATGCTAGAGAGAGAGAGAGAGAGAGAGAGAGAGCTACTCATAATCTCATATATAAATGAACATTCGCCTCTGCCTCGACATATGATTCTGAATGAAATATTCAAAGAAAATTTCAAAGTCATTGACTTGACAATGCATGACTATTTACCAACATCAAAAGCGAGGTGCAACACTTGCCTCACTCCCATTAGAGTTTGGATATTTGTTAACTACAACTATTCATCGACTTGTATCTCCATCATCCTGCATAAAAACATTAACTTTATTTAGAAATATTACACAAATAGGGAGATTTCAACAAAAATCATTATTTCGAAAGTTCTGTCAATACAAGTGCATGATTCTCAATTTCCCATACACATAATTCAACGATGATGATGCTATAATTTAAGTGCATATTTGGTATGCAGTATTAGACTATACGTAGACACTACTATGAACAAGATTTTAGGTGTGTTTTTCCTTTATTTTATTTTATTTATTATTATTATTTTTTTGGTGGTGTCAATGCTATCAAATCCATATTACTGAACATGCTAAAAATGTGCAAAAACTACGTATTGTCACTTTACAAACTAATCAGATATAATTTAAGTGCATATTTGGTATACAATATTAAAATGTACTAGACATTACTGCGAATAAGATTTTAGTTTTTTTATAGTGTTAGTGCTATAAAATCCTTATTACCAAACATTCTAGAAGTGTGCACAAACTACGGTAACTTTACAAACTAATCAGATATACATGAAGCCAAGCCTGTATCCAATTTACACAACGTCGCTACTTTAATCATGTTAGATTTAGCAGCATCCAGCAATGGATCTGACTCAATTGCCTTGTTGAAGCAAAACTTAGCTTCTGCCCAGCGACCCTCAGCCACAAACACAAGACCAAGATTATTATATGCAGGAGCATAACCCGGCTGCAGTTCAAGCGACTTTGTAAACATTGCCTTTGCGTATTCATATTTCTTTAACTGCCGGTAGAAATTGCCGAGGTTGGAAAATATGGTGTGTCCCTGTTTGGGTGTAGCTAATGACAAGGCATGTTTATAAACTTCTTCAGCTTGTGAAGACTCCTCCAATAGCTGCAGTGAGATACCTAAAGATGCAATATT